TTTTTTTCTTTCACAGACGAGTTTTCGTTGCGGAGATCAAGAAGTGACCATCACTCTGACCCTGGACAGGACCGCTCACACACACTTGACAAACATCTTCCATCTTGTATCGAAATAACAGCTGTAACTTACATATTTTGCTACATTCCAGCTCTTCAAGAGTTGTTCAGTGCATTCGAAATCTCGCGTATCTGTAATAAGTGCACATCACCGAAAATTACAGAGCATAATGATTGCCACCGCTTTCATAGATTTGCTCGCGCAGTTGCGTGAAAGTAAAAGTTGATTAGTTGCTTACACGGTTGAAAGTTGCTATGTATTACATCTACACAGCTTTACCTATTTGACCCTGACTAAGGTATCATATTTAGCTCATTTTTCTTCTACGAGACGCCACCCCGAAGTTCAATTTTGGCTGTGGTCCCTGCTTCAATGGTACGCTTACGAGATTGTCCGGTAAGGGCTCGAACCCGAACTATACACGTTGAGGTACAGAAACTTCGTCCACAACCTCACGCCACCTCTTACACAATTTACAGCATTTATTTTTTGCTCGTTTCTCAATTCGTAATTTGCAGGAAATATATCGACATTGTCTTGTCAACTGCATCACAATTTTCATCGAGAATCAAATTTGTTGCGTATTCTATCAATCTGATAATAATATATGAAACATATGCGGTGAGAAGATCACATTAATGGCTGCTTCCGATATGCATTTATCACTTTGAAAGGTTATATGAACAAGTGATTAAATTTTATCTAAAAAAGAAGCCATATAGTTCAATTTTTATATTGTTTTTAGACAATCAGTATACAAAAAGATGACCAAAGAGATTATCGGAACACATATTTTTGTTGAGGAAATTTCTGGTTCAGGTAGTGAGTACCTTAAAAAGCCAGTACATTTCGAGAATGGTTACGGCGATGACGTAGAGACGCAGCTACTTCAAAGACTTTTGTTCTGAGACTTCAAACGTTTATTCCCTTCGTGTAGCGAAAGAATTCTTATTCATTATCATCCATCATACCAAACCATGGTTCATCTTCAAAATAATCGTCTTTGAATTTCTTGTCGTGTTTCTTTGCATCTAATACCTCACAAAGCGTCATCTTTTGCTGAAGTAAAGCACGTGTGTAGGGAGTCAAAGCATTTGTCACACAACGCTGAAACTCATTTGAGCAAATCTTGCAATTTTGTTGTTCATAGACTTTGATTATAAAATCAACAATGACTTCACGACCACATAGACTAGCGTAGTAGAGTGACGAGTTTTCAAAGTCGTCAAGTGAGCGATAGGTGTCGATATTCGTTGTGCAAATAGCTTTGAATATTTCCAAGTCTCCCATCTTGGCAGCATGCCAAATCGTTACATGATCAGGTACCTTTAGGAAGTAAGAACACTGTGTGGGGCTCTTTGATTGGCGCAGTATTCGACGGGGTGCAATGAACTCGACAAGCCCGTCAATCGTATAACATTCAAAAATAAAGTTTGAGGTGCTAGATGATGCTGAAGACTCAACTACCCGACAGCCAAGATGCTGGAGCACAATTGGCAGTTCCTCAAGCGACAGTTGCACTCCAAACTTATGTTTTAAAACGTCGTATATATCGTGCAGTGGTAGAGACAGGAGTGGTTTTATATTGCGAGAATCTTGCTCAGTTTGACTGGCCCTGTCAGAATGTATACTACACAGCCGCCGCTGCTCGAATGCCTGCATTAACGTGTTTGCAACAAGGTAATCTTTAGAATGACAATTATATTGTTGCATAAGCATTCGACGTCGTGAACTCTCAGCTACGCTTTCAAGTGCGACGGCATTCCCCATGATGTATGATAAACGGCAGCCTTCAGAGTCTCGCTAATAATAACGTAGAGCCTCCCTATTGGAAGCAAAGCAAAAATTGCCACTTCGAGGAAGGAAGCGGTCAAATGTGTTCCGTTTCTTGGGGTGTCAGCAGATTGTACCATCACAGATCGTTCATCAGTACAACGTGAACTCCCTTCGACAACGACGGTTAATATTTAAATAGCAAATTTGTTTACTTACTTATACTGTTTGGCTTAGCAGTTGTCCGTATGGTACATTTTTTTAAAACTTACAAATTGTACTCATTACTTTTGACATTGCTAGCAGTCCTTTAGAAAATTATCAAGCTGTCATCACTAACAGCATCTTCCAGGGCGTCACTACTGTAGTCCATATCTGAATCGTGGCCCCGATCCTCTTTATTAATAACAAGACCGCATTGCTTCTTGTGAACCTGGCTGTCATCAAATTTAGCCGTGCCGTTTTGGAGTTGTTTCTTGCCTTTTTTCGAAGCATTGAATCCATCTTTCTCACTGCTTCGCTTCTTTCCTGCCAATTTGCTTCCTATATTGCAATTTGCATCAACGGTATCCACCTGAACCTCTTCACTTCGAGACTGAAGACGACAAATTTGTTCCTCGTATGCGTCGACTATGTCAGGTACATCTACTCGCAGCTCGTACGCATCCTCCCATGTATCTTCACTCTCATCATAGTTCTCCCATCGCACAAGGTATTGCTTGCTATTATTAAATACACGATGATTAACAATATGGTCAACATTGTACAGAGCGGCCGGTTGATGCTCTGCACTCTCATCTGCAGTTTCAGACTCTTTACTCTGATCCATCATCAAATCATTGTCGATTGTCTTCCTCTTTCTTCGCGGACTTGCTTTTCTCTTGCTCGGTACTTCGTCGCCTCGTGTGCGTGACTTTAACGCATAGAGCTCAATTAGCTTCTTAGCTTGAGGTGGAGCTTTGCGGCCTACAATCCATAATGGCGATTCTACTCCTTCCCAGCGAATTAAAAATTCTCTCACCCTTCGATACGTACGAACACGCAGCACTTCTTTAGCAACTAAACTGACAGCAGTTCGTTTGTGTATACGATCATACTCCTGTACGTCTACTCTCAAACTTTCCGATTGATTAGTAGGAGTCTTATCAGCAGATCTTGAGTCTGAACGTGCAGTAAGATCTGTCTCAATTGATTGCAGCAGTCTTCCACTTTGATTGTTCGTCCTACATTTGACTTTATCATTCAATGCTGGAGGTACAACCGTATCAGACGCATGGGCCATAGCATTACCCTGAGCTAAATGTGATTGTTGCTGATCAAAACACAGATTTGAAACTTCGTGAGCTCTCTGTGTTGTCAACTTAAGTCTGTTGGCAACTAGCATATCATGAAGTTTATCACCCTGAATATCATCATCTGTGTCATTTTCAGTGTCGAAAAATTTATCTTTTCTCATCTTCTTTGAACCTTGACTTTCATTGCTCCCATGCGCTTGAAAAGCAAGCATGTTTTCAGCAAAATTTTGTGGAAACATCATTTCCTCGTCTCCAAGCTCCAAATACCGGTCTAACGAATCCTGTGCACGTTGTAACTGAGCATTTTTTACTTGTCTTGCTCGCTTAAGCGCTGGTACAATGTCCCAAAAGAAAGACTCATTAATCTGGGTCACCAAACCAGCTAAAGTCTTGTCCGTGGCGCTTAAGAGATTAGCCTTGTGTTGAATATCCTGCAACTTAGTGACTGCATTGACTTGTTGCGTTAGCAACCTTTGTAGAGTCCGCGAAATTTCTGTCACGTCCCTCAAGCGCTCCATCAATCGCAACCAAGTGGTGAAGCTGCGACATAAAGACATTATGAGACTAATTCAATAGCTCGAAGGCTGATTAAGGCTCACTATATAAACAACGCACAACTGCTTCTCTCGAGCATCTGAATCCTGATTCATTGGAGCGCATTTTTGTGCTGTGGACGTTGCAGCACACGCCATGGCCTCTGCGCTCATGTATAGACTTAAGCGAGTATACTGAAGTAACAGCAAGAAACTGTGTTGAGTTACCCTATGTACCCCACCTGACAAAATATGAAGGTTGTGGCTCTGGATGCTGGTGGAGCCACGCTGAAAGCGTCTGTAGTTGTTCCTGGCGTGACTCCCACCGTCTCAATCCTTGCAAACCACGTGGCATCGACGTCAGTAAACCCTTCTACAATATTGATGGGTCAAAAACTACAAGAGCTCGAGCGTTTACGGTCGAAATTACGATATTTAAGACCAGTGCAGCGGTAAGATGGGGGTACACTTGCTCTAAACGAGTACGTAGACTAAGAATATTTTTGCTTGAAAGCAGCGGTTATTGCGTCAATTGGAACATTGAGTCCGAGTTATGGGCGTACTTGATGAACGAGGCAAGCAATACAGTCCTCAACTTGCAACATGGTTACGCTCATTTAACACTCGCTGATATGTCCAAACAGATGCTTCAGGTTGATCCATCCGAGTACGCTCTGGTGGTAACGTCTCCACTTTTATCGCCTGCAATAGTCAATGAAAGTACGGATGAGGTTGTTTTCGAAGAGCTGGGTTTTGACTCTTACGCTCGGGTCAGTGCAGCCGAGAGTTGCGTACTTTCATACTCTGCACATTGTGAGCGAAAATTTCAGTCAAACTTTGTAATATCCAAGACACCTGCATTGCTAAGTCCGTGTTCGAACAGGCAAAAATTAGTGGATCCACCTCTACAACCACCGCTAGTAGACGATGATCCACTTCGATTTTCCACATCATCATGTCATCTTGTCGTGGACTCTGGATTTTCATTCACACACGTGATTCCAGTGATAAATGGAAAGGTGTATTTGCCAGGTTTGATACGAATAAACGTTGGTGGAAAATTGCTGACCAATTATTTGAAAGAGATTGTATCTTACCGTCAATGGAATGTTATGGATGACACGTCAGTGATTAATGAGCTAAAAGAAGCACTGTGTTACTGCTCACTACACTTTAAAAATGACCTTGATCGCTATCATTTCGATCGAAATATGCGGAAGCATTGGATTCTGCCAGATTTCGTACGTACATTCAAAGGACGTTGTCGAGAAGACGATCAAGATCTGATTGATGAGCAGTATACTGAGAGACAAGGTGACACCGAGCAGACTTTAGAGATGGGCGTTGAAAGGGTGACAGTGCCAGAAATACTGTTTAATCCATCAGATATTGGTATTTCTCAAGCTGGGATCGCTGAAACAATCGTGCAAGCCGTTGAGGCGTGTCCCGATGAGCTCTCAAGTGCGTTGTACGCTAATATTTTACTTGTTGGAGGAAATACAAAGTTTGGCAATTTTCGACAACGACTTGAACAAGATTTGAGACCGCTAGTGCCTGATGATTTTGATATTGAAGTGCATGAATCATCTGAGTATGCTTGATACCGAATATTGCTAGCGCTACTGTTTGTTAACATGGGGAATTATGACATTTCTACAGCCCAATACTTGCTGCCTGGCAAGGTTGCTGTTCTATAGCTGAGTCAGACGCTTTGTCAACACGGATTGTATCCAAGAAAGAGTATGATGAACACGGCAGCAATATTTGCTTAAAGAAATTTCAACAGGGTAAAATAATTTTGTGCGCTCTATTGTTCTAAAAGTATAACATTCTGCTTTGTTTTTCGGACAGGTTTACAAGCATTAAGTGACGTCTCACAGATCTAGCAAAGTCATCAGCGATATTAAAGATTTGACACTATGATACTCGCATGTGAGAAGGAGCGCGACTACCATGTGCTTATGATTTTGATTTTTTTATAGATAACGTCAACGATACAACATCTTTATCGCAGCAGGTCTTTTGGTTGTGCGGCAAACGAATTGCTTTTCGGCAACAAGTGTAAATCTGCTTTCTCTACTGTTTTCTGGAGGTGTGACATTCTTAAAGTTGTTCGACCGCTTTAAGTTATCAAATTTGGTTTCGCACGTTACGGCATAAACACGTGGCTTTTCGAACTTGATGAAGTGCAGTCAAATTAATGCGACGTTGAAGTAGCATATATCATCTCGAGTGAATGCCTACTAATATACTTGCGATAATTTTAATCAGTATTCGCAATGAAAGAAGACAAACATCTTAAAACGAACATATTTCTTGATTCATCTTTATTATCGAACACGACAAGCGATCATAGAAGACTTCTATACATTGTTTATATTCAGCAATGAAGAAAGTCTTAATTCAAGGTAGCTTTTGAGTGCCACTTCCTCACCTTCTACTGTACTAAGCTAATGTGCTTGTCTCTTCGTGTTGCTGGTAGCCAGCTTGCTTGAACTCGTTGTGGTTTGTCAGTCACTGGTGCCAAGTAAAAGTCAGCACAAAAATCCTTCTTTTTGCTGTCTTAACACTCCTAAGACATTCGTAGCTGGTAGTCACCGTTCTGCGTGATGTAACGCACCCACGGAAGTGCCTGGTAACCGCTTTTTTCGATAATTTTCAAGTAGCGCACTTGAATGCCCGAGACCGTAAAGTAAGGGATCTCAAACTTGACTTGAATTGGAGCTTTCCAGTCGTCTGTTGCCTCATGGTTATCAATACTAGGCAGCCCGAAGTGTGCTCGCATAAGATACTCACGAGAACCATTAAACTGCTTAATGGACCAAACAATAGCGTCACGATCTGGTACATACGTCACGGATCCAATGCTGCACTTGAAACTAGGAGAATCAACATCAGGAGGTACTGGAATGACGATCTCCACATTGTTGGCAATACTGCGACTTTTAAACTGTGACTTGGCCTTAACCATGTATTCGATACGCGAGCGAGAATGAGGTTCCACGACTGCCTCAACCCAAATTAGTGGCTTCACGTGTGTAGCTAAACGATACGTCATTAAATCGAATTCTCCATCAGGTGGAATGAAAGAGATCGTACGGTCCGATTCAAAGCGAGCAAGTCGAACACACTGATGAAACTTGATATCTTCCATTTCCACTGCTTTGCCTTTGCTAGAAGACCGCCCTGTAGCTTCAAAAAGTGCCTTGTCATTAAGACCGAGCTTGAGCTCCGGCATACCCGACAAGAAACTTTTCATTTTCACAGCTCCAATAATTTCTGAATGCAGCACAGTCCCATTACTTGAGACAAGAAGATTTAGTTTTTCCACAACATCAAGAAATATTTCATTCTTGCGATGCTTAATGCCTTCACTACGCCAAGAAACAGCATTCGTAAGCGCAGTTGGTGGACGTGGCGCTGCCTCGAGCCTGTGGCCTTCTTGAGTAATATATTCGCGTAAAATACGAGCTTCGGTTGTTTGAGGATACCCATGATCCATTGTCTCGTCTAAAAGTTCAAAGATAATAACAAAATTATCACGAATACTTTCTTCCTCAAGCTCGCCAAAGTATTCACGAAATACTTGGCAGATGCGTGTGAGATACATAAGCATCAGTGCAACGTTCGAATTTACTTTAGTTACGGTCATGAGGTACAGATTGTTATGCTATCAAGATACGTATACATGAGTAATATATTAGTATACATGATTTTGTATCAACCTTTGAAAATAAAGAAAACCTTGAGGTAGACGAAGGTATAGCCGTCCTCTGTGAAAACGGGGCGCTGCTCCGAATCATCTTTGTCTTGGACGTAGTGCGTGAATTTTTCGGATGCGGACATGGGGATATCCCCCCGGTAGTTCCGCGAGATGATGACCTTTCCCTTTAGGTCGGTGATGAACACGGCCGACAGCACCATGATGAGCGACTGATTCAAGACTGCCGCGTGGTATCTAGCTTTGAGCAATATGATTGGGCAAAAGAATTTTTCAATTCAGGATGCTGTTCAATAGTTTTGGCGATATATTTTGTACTATTCCTGTAAAGTGAAAGATTTGTGAGTGAAACTATCTGAGCTCTATATCAGGAAGCCCTGCTGCATTTTCAAATGCAATCTCGACAATTGCAATGAAACCTCATGTAACATGTTGCGATACGTAGTGTGTCTGTCAATTGCAAAATTTAAAAATTTACTTGCGGTTGACAGCACATATTGCAATTACTTAGTTTTCGTGGAAGCAAAGGAAAATACAGACCGCATGAAAAGCGAAGTCTATTGTTCCTCTTACGGTGGCAGAAACAGCGTTTGAAGGCTCTTTGATGTTACCCATGTATACATGTTAATTACTTATGTGCCTTGGAAAATACCCAGTAAAAGATTTTTTCTTTCAGATGTCTACATTTCGAGAGCCATAAATTTCTAGAGGTGTATGTGTGTTCGGATTGTTATCGATAAAAAATATCGACCTGCGATAAGGCTTTCTGCCTTACATTGTATTAGAGCAAACCGTTTGTCCAAGGAATTGCATGCCTCTTACCAATCGAAAGATGTAAAAAACTTACTCCAGGAGTTTAAAAATCGATGCGCTGAATAATCATTATATTCCAATCAGGATGATTAGCTTCTACAATCAAGGTTATCACACACAAAACGTCTCGTCACCTGTATGTATCATTTACTGCTCGGTCTTGTAAAAGAAAGTGTGAGCAGCTCTGCCAAATATACCTGCCGAACTACAGGAAAGGAATTTATAACCCTTGACAGCTCTTATATTGTAGATCTTCTACGATGGTTTATAGTCATGCCGATCACATATACAAGAAAACAAAGTAATGTTACTGTGCCTTTTACTAAGCTTGTAAGCTTCTTGCGATTGTAATACAATACCATTCTTCACTGGTCTCATTGCTATTAGTCCTTAAATCGTGAATTGGATTATTATTGTTAGAGGAATGTAGGATTCGCGTATGAAACCACGTTTTGCTGTCAGTCTTGCAAGAAAATCCTAAAGGAACTTTGCTGGGATATTTACGCTATGATTGGCAGCATTGCACGATGGAGAAACGTCAGTCAAAAACATTGTAATAGGCGATACGGATGAAGGTCATCAAAAGCAAATCAAGAATTAGACTCTAGTAGTTGCGCTATGTTTAAAAGATTGTCTCCTTATCATTAGTCTTTTCAAATCCTTGAATCGAAACTCATGAAACATGGTTGAAGGTCAGTGACACGCTTTGGAAATAAGATGGAGCACGAATAGTCGGCGATCGTTGCTAAGAAATATCTCGAAAGGTTCAGCGTATACGCTAGACCTCGCTTGGCCACGACCTTAAAAGGTCCAAAAAATCGGGGACGGAGCATCGTCTTAAAGACAGCAACAACTACATGTGTAGGAAGGTTTTAGCGCTAAATTAATCCAGGTCCGCGACCTCAATTTTCTAAACATTTTTTCTAGCTTTTCCGTCTGCATATTCCTTCTGCATGTCCTGGCTTTCCGCCATCGCAACGCGAACGTGTCGTAAGACACTCAGTCTAGTAGACAGGAAGTCTCCGACTTCTTTACGCACGGTGAGGGCTGACATCAGCTAGCTGTTCGACTATTCCCCCCCTACCAAGCCCTGAGCCATGGGATGGCGTCGTCAGCGGGACGCGAGATTAAGGTCTGTTCACGTAGAATGGCGTATAGCCGGTAGATGAATGCACATCATTGTTCAGAGCAAACTCTACGAGTGGCAACATAGCCCTCCAGCGTTTCGGCGTCTCAGCGAAGATGCTGCGAAGAACATCTTCGACGACGAGATTCACGCGCTCAGTCTGACCATTGGTCTGCGGATGGTCCGCTGTTGGCATATTCAACTTGGTGCCCAGCACCCTGAAGAGTCTAGACCAGTGAAGCGCGGGTCTCTATCAGAGACAACTGACTCCGGGAGTCCATGCTGTCAAAAGACACGATCGACAAAAAGCGTCGTTATACCCACACCGTCGATGGTGTTCGGCACTGCCGTAAGATGTGCCATCTTGTTCAATCGGTCCACATAGACCACCATATCCGTGTTGCCTGCCAAGTCCTTCGCAAAGTCCATACTCATGGGATTCCAAAATTCGAATGTTACTGGTAAATTGGCCGGAGGCACCGCCGCATTCGAAGAGGGCTTCCCCTCTGACACGTCTCACACGTGAGCACATATGTGTTCATCCACTTGTACAGCTTGGGCCGCCAATAGTGGCAACTCACCGGACTGTACGTCTTCTCATGACCAAGGTGACCACTAAGTGGGGTGTCGTGGGCTTCATAGAGGATACAATAATACTTCACCTCAGTTATATTCTGCAAAGAATGAGAGCCACCTAGCCATTCCCTGCGAGAGGTGAGGCAACTGAGTCGCAGTGCGTAGTGACGCATGATCTATGTAGATCACAAACGGCTTTGAGCCCAGCAGGTGTACCCTGAATTTGACAGCTGCATACTTCATCGCAAGTAATTCCTTGACGTGGACTGAGTAGTTCCTCTCCGCAGCCTTAAGCTGGCGGGATTCAAACGCGATCACCCGATCTCGACTGTCGGCGTCTGCTTGTAGCAGTGCACACCCGATGGCAAAGTCCCAAGCGTCACAGACGACACGAATTGGACGATCGGGTCCGGCAACACCAGTATTGGTGCATGAAGGAGGCTGTCTTTGAACCTGCCAAAAGCCTACCGATGCTCGGTAACCCAACACCATTACTTATCCTTCTTGAATATATGAGACAATGGCCGTGCCATTTCTGCATAATTTGCGCTTTACTTGTGCAAGTAGTTGGCGAGGCCAAAATACTTGCGCAAGTCCGTTTGGTTCTTTGGAACCATCCAGTCAAGAATAGCCTTGGCCTTAGCTGGATCCGCTCGAAGGCCACGCTTCCCAATGAAGCGCCCTAAAAAGGAATTTCTTCCACGTCGAAAATGCACTTATCGGCATTGGCATAGAGCTTATTCGTGTGCATGCACTCGAGCACCGCTCTTAAATGAACAAGGTGGTTTTTCTCATCTGTCCTCTCGTGCTCCGCACGACTGTGGCCGAAGATGTCGTCGCAATATGTATGTATATACGCCCGGTCGGGCCTGAAACTGCATCACAAGACGATCAAACGCTGCTGATGCATTTGACAGCCCTTGGGGCATCACCAGCCACTCCCAGAGTATCCCGCTC